ATTTGATTCAATTATTAGAAACTTCAGTATGTTTGGAACAACATGCACATATGAAGCTACTTCTCTGGCTATAATTTATTTTTTTGACAGGGTCTCCCTAGTCCCAGCCCACCTGGAACTCACTATGTAGACCAGGATGGCCTTGATCTTACAGAGATCCACCTGCCTCTGCCTCCTGAGGGTTAGGATTAAAGTTATAGGCCACCACACATGGCTCCAGCTATAAATTTTATTAAGTCTAAATTCAGACCAAATATGTTTAATAAAAAATTAGCATTCAGGGGCTGGAGTGAAGAGCACTGGCCACTCTTCCAGAGGACCCAGGTTTGGTTCCCAGCACTCACATCAGGTGGCTCACAAATGCCTGTAATTCCAGGGGACATGACACTCTTTTCTGGCCTCTAAGGACACTGCATACACACGATGCAGATACAGACAAGTAGGCACACATACACGAACACATTAAACAAAATTAAGAGAATTTCAATTAGCATTCAAACTGAGATATTTTGTGAATGTACAATACATACTAGATTTCAAAGACGCAGCACAAAATAATGAAATATAGAATTTCTAAGGAGGCCAACTGTGTGGCTCATGCCTATAATCTCAGCACTTAGGAGGTGGAGACAGGAGGATCACCATTGAGTTTGAAGCCAGCTTGGGCTATATAGTGAGTTCTAGGCCACCCTGGACTATAAGGCAAGATCCAGTTTCAAAAAAATCAAATAAACAAAAATCTAAACATTCTAATGAATAGGGACTGGAGAGATGGCTCAGTGATTAAGAGCACTGGCTGTGCTTACAGAAGACCAGGTTTGGCTCTCAGCACCCACATGGTGGCTAACAACTGTCCAAAAGTTCCAGGGACTCGGATGCTCTCTTCTGACCTCCATGGGCATTGTGCAACACGGGTGCTCTTATATACATGCAAGCAAAACTTTTACATACACACAAAACAAATATATAAAAATTAAAGAAATTCTAATGAATAGTGTTTTATATTAATTATTATGCTGAACTAGTATTTTGGATATACTGAATTAAAGATTAACTCTATTTGCTTGTTTTTACATTTCTTTTTCAATTTTTTTCCTTTTTATTTCATGTATATGAATGTGGACGTGTATATGCCACTGTACATGTAGAGATCAGAGGACAACCTGTGAAAGGCAGTTTTTCTTTCCACCAAGTGGGTCCGGAGGATTGAACTCAGGTGGTCAGGCTTGGCAGCAAGCATCTTTACCTGTTGAGCCATCTCACAAGCCCTGTGCTTTTTTTTGAGACATTTTACTATGGCTATTACTAATTTCAAATTATATACATGGCTAGCAATTTTTACTTCTGTTGGACAAAGATACTCTCAAGGGCTAATGAGAAAAAGCCCAAATATGTGGGTAGGCTTTATGCAGACAACAACAAAAAAACCTTCTCAGTGAATGAGAAAATAACGTATGTGTGCATGAATATGTATGTGTACATAGAAAGATGTAGGCAGAGAAAAAGGGAGTCTATGACTAATAGAGGAATTGTTTCCTTCCTCACCAAACTGGATACTATGGTATAGGGGTGTGACAGAATGGAATGAAGGGTCAGCAATGCCAGGCTCACACTCAACTGTGAAAACCTCATGTGGGGTACTTTCCTGCCCTTCAGTGAGATGAGATGTATAAGCCATGACTATCCCAAATTACTCTCACATTCCATTAAAAATGTGTTTCTACACCCAGAGCTTTGGGAAAAAGCCTATAGGAAGGGTGAAGGAGCATTAGGCTGGTCTTGGAAGGCATGGAGGCCCCTGGTCCTGAAACCTCCACTACCAAGAGTTGGCTGTGGACAGGCTGCTCCCGTTAGACTCTACCATCTCACAGAGGCAGCAGGATTCCTGTAGCTCTGAGCATGGGAGTTAACATTCTCTCCATCTTCTCCTTACCTCGGAGATACTTCACCTTCAGATACTCTGGGCTGGCTTTCTGGCCAGGAAGAGGGTCGTTTAGCATGACTTTTGTCTGTGCTTTAATCCCTTCATAAAACTGTCCCATCGCCACATGGCTGAGCCCTTTCATGTACTGGCACACTTCGTTGAATGGCTCCAGTTGCAGGCAGCGCTGCAGTTTAGGACAGAAATCTGCATTAGTGTCCCTCAACCTGAGTCGAAAGCCTTCCCTCCAGGTTGAGTCAAACCACATACAGGCTTGTACGTTAGTCTAGTGGCCAAAGCCATGGTCTCTCCTCTGTGGCACATACACAGTATTGCTGGCTCTTCATTTCACTGAACTCTAAGGGTCAACCAAGAACCCCAGTTACAGCCCTGCCTGCTAGTGGAGGCTCACCTTGAAGTTCTTCAGGGCCTCCTGCAGGCTGCCGTGGTGGTAGAGCATCATGCCCCGGAGCTGCAGGGTCTGCACATGGTTCTGATTGAGCAGCAAGGCTTTCTGGAAGCTCTCAGTGGCTGCTTCAAAATTGCCCAGTTCTCTAGGTATTGAACAACCATGATGAGCACAGTGAGGTCAACGACCCTGAGCATTGGGGTCCAGTGTATAAGATGCAGGTCAGTGACCCTGAGCACGGGGATCAGGTGTGTAAGATGCTCTGAGGTCTGTCTCCTGTTACCTGACCCCTTCACACATAGCTGCACAGCCTCTAACAAGGTACAGTCCTCTTGCCACTTGTGGATCTGTCCAGGTTATAGGATGGACATACTCTGGGATTTCTCTAGGAAAACTTACCCCCAAAAGCAAATGCTTCTTCAAACGTCTCCCCTCAATTCGTAGTGAGCATCAAGCTTTAAAATGCCACTGCCTCTAGTATGTGGGTAAAAACATTTATCTTGGGCTGGAGAGATGGCTCAGTGGTTAAGAACACTGGCTGCTCTTGCAGAAGACCCGGGTTTGGGTCCCAGCACCCACATGGCAGCTAACAACTGTTTGTAATTCCAGTTCCGGGGCTCTGACACCCTCTTCTGGCCTCAGCATTGCATGACACAGGTACATCCACCTACATAGAGGCATTATACTCATACACATAAAATAATAAATAAAATATTTAAAAATTAAACAACAACAAAAACAAAAATTTCGTCCCACTTTGGGAAAAGCACAAGGATTATAACCATACAAAGGTTTGTCTGAACCAAACCCACAGGTTTGAAACCATATTCCCTTGGTCAATGAACTGAACATCCAGGGAATCAAGTAATTTGAAATTTTGAGAAAGCAAAATTCATTCAGAAATGTAATTCTTCCAGAATGGAAATGACTGCTACTAACCAATACTTTTTACATATTAATCTTTTTTAAAAAACAAAGAATAGAAATGGCTTCCAAATATTGTATATGCCGCTGGGCATGGTGGTGTATGCCTTTAATCCCAGCACTTGGGAGGCAGAGGCAGGCAGATCTCTGTGAGTTCAAGGCCACCCTGGTCTACATAGTGAGTTCCAGGGCTGCTGGGGCTACAGAGAGACCCTGTCTCAGAAAGATCAAAAAAACCCAAAACAAATTGTATATGCCAATTTTCTATAAATGAGTATTTTTTAATATTTTATTTATTATTTTTATGTGTATGAGTATATTGCCTGCATGTATGTGAGTGCACCCCGTCCTGCAATGCTGCAGAGGTGAGAAGAGGGCTTCAGATTTCCCTGGGAACTGGAGTTAAGGACGGTTCGTAGCCTCCATGTGGGTGCTGGGAATTGAACCCAGGTCCTCTGCAAGAGCAGTCAGTGCTCTTAACCGCTGAGCCATCTCTCCAGCCCCAGGAAGTACTTTTTAAAAAAACACAATGCCCACTGACATTTATGTATCATGCTACATGGACTTTCCAATCTGTTTTCAAAGTATATGCTTAACAACTCTGTGGACTGGGAGAAATAAATACCACCACTTAAACAAACTCCAAACAAATCCAGGCATGCTTCCTCCCAGGTAATGTAAGCGTTTGCCAAATTATCCCAACACAAAAACAAACTCCCTGCATGAGGATGGGGGAATTTCTATAACAGTCTTTTCTTCTGTGGGTACAATGACACGTTTACAGGCAGGACATTCGGGGAAGCTGTGATGGCACACCTCAGGGGGTTCCTAACTCATGTCATACCATGTCATCTGCGTTTCCGATCAGAGTGGGGTTGTTTTTTGCTTTTAAGTTAGATCACTCTGTGAGGCAATGCACAGAGTCAAGGAGCAAGGGTCTAATCAGAGCTTCCCACACTAGATAGAGACCTTTACACCTCAGACTTTCCCATTCCTTCACCCTACAACTTCTAAAACAGATCCACAATTAGGGACTCACTGCTTGACATTCATTACCTGGTACCTTCTATTGCCCAGTATAACACTGGAATCTGTAGGGACCACTGTGAACACCATGACCCAGAGGGACTGATCCTCTCAGACAGCTATGAACACCATGGGAGGGGCTGACCCCCTCAGACAGCTGTGCATGCCTAACATGGCTCCTACATGGTAATACACAAGCAGATCCTGACACAGAATTCTTTCACTTCCCAGAGGACAGGAGATGCCTGCAGGTGTGACAATGCCTTCAAACCAAGTGGCCATCTCTTCTGAGGGATGTATGTGTCCTCTCCTCCGGTTTCCTCTCACCCCAGTGTCACTCACTCACCTGTAGGCTTGTCCCAGACTTTTATAGGCATCAATGAAGTCAACTTTCTGTTTCAGAGCGTCTTTGAAGGCTTCAATGGCTTCCTGTGGAAAGTATGCCGAAAATGAGCTATTTTCAATTACTCTTAAATGGAGTTCCACTTATGTCACTAAAGGATTTATATATATGCTACGCCTAACTCTGGCAGAGTATCTTAAACAGGACAAAAAAAAGAGGCTGTCTATGTAATATGCTGTTGGGAGGCCATGATTCCAGTACCAAACAAATATATTTCTGAAAAGCCTCAGCCTCAGGCCTCTCCCTTTCAAAATGTAAAAGAGCTATATGTCACATCTACCTATTAGGACTTCATCCAACATTACTGCTTGATCCATAATTGCCAATGGACCAAAAGAAACGGAACAGCATTGTGAGATGGTACAAAATGACAATGTGCTGTACTTAAAATGGAGTCCACAAAACAAATTTTAAAAATTGCACAGAGGCAAAAAGGCTCTGGGTTGGCTGTCTGGAGGATTCCCTTGTTCCACAAGGAAAACGGAAGAGTGAAACAAAACTTACTCAAGGCTGGGTGCTGGACATGACTTGTACACCACAGCAGTTGGCATATGGCTGAGGACCAGGCACTGCAGGCCACCATGGGGAACCAAGGGCATACTTGCTCCAGACCAAGTTCCACTATCTGTGAGAACTGTTACTAGAGAGTACAGTTCCAAGTCAAGGTTAGACCACCTAGGTATGTATAACCCACTTTGCCTATGTCCTTCACATGACCTGTAACCATGATAAAAAATGACAGACACTTCACACTTTTCCAAGGAAAAGACAGATCATATAGAAGTTAACTGCCACAAAGTATTGTGATCTACTGTAACTTGAAGAAAAAGACTTTAGATGACATCACATCTAATTTATATGGGAGAGAGCAACCGAAGGTGTCGCATGCCTTGCACATGGTAGGCACTCAATAAATATTTGATGATCTGCAGGCCTAAAACAGTTTGCAAACAGCACAATCTCAAGACTTCAAAAAGCCATTTGTCTCCGCATCTGGATTCTACAGAGGTAAGCAGGATGGCACAGGAACTGGCTTCAGATTCTTCAGGGGTGATGGCAGGGACGATGACCTCCTGGTAAAGGGCTCCTACTACTCTGAATGTGGCTACTGGAGTGGACTAGGCTTCATCGTTTAGAATTTTCACAATACTTTCATTTAACAAACACATATTGAGCGCCTACTATGTACCAGTGCCAGCGTGGGGTACGGGGTAATGCAAGATGAGTAAATCATTATCTCTGTCCTCTAAGAATGCACAGTCTAGTTAGAAAGCAATGTAACAGGATCATTAGTGTAAAAGTCACAAGCTACAACAGATAGGGCAGTCTCTGGGAATAAAGAGAAAGCAGCCACAAGAGATGAGGCTTTGAGAGGAAGTGACAGCTGAGTGGTCTTGGGGAATGAAAAGCAGTGGTAAGGTAAGGACACAGTGCTATGCTGTACGTAGCTCAGATGTAGGAAATAGGAAATCAGGAGGGCAGGACACGTGGGTAAGAGCAGGGAAAGGCAAAGACAGAGTCTAGTTGGTGCCTGCCCAGATAGGTGTCTTGGGGCCTCGGGAGATGTACTCTGGAAAGAGGGTAGTAACCACAGCAGATAGGGCCCCGGGGGTGGGGGTGGGGGTGTAGGGGGGCAATCCAGGTAAGAGATAATGGAAGCTTGAGTTGAGTGTGTCTAATGAGAAAGGTCAGAGGTCAGATTCAAGGGTACTTCTAAAGGCAAATGTAGACAGCATCTGGTAGGGCGGGGTGAGGGAGAAGACAGGGCTGGGAGTTTCTAGGCTGGAGAGCCTGCAAGAGGGCAAGCACAGTGGCCACCACAAGGAGTACAGGAGGACAGCTGGGGGGGGGCTAGGCACGTTAAGTCTGTAGTGTCTGTGGACATCTAAGGGAGATGCCCAGTGGGCATCTGCTGCCCACTCCACTTACAGCATGCGTGGACGCCACAGTTCTTCAAAGTCTGATTCTCTTCAGCTTTTAAGAGTCTTTGGTTTCAGGGTTCCTGTCTAAGCACTGCTCAGCTCTCTACCTCACTCTGCCAAAGAGGGACATAGCAGAATCAAGATTTTAAGCCATTGGGAACAGGAAACTAGCTTACATGAGGCAACCTCCAAGCACCTGACCAACTTCAGAATCATGTGCTTAGATGCGACCATCACACTCTGTCACCGCCACCCTCACCTATGCGGCCAGCACTTGGCTGCTCCCAACCTCAGACAGCTGGAGGTGAAAAGCTTAAAACAACTTTATGACATGAACTAAATGGACAAAAATTCTTGCTATTGCATCCCTGAGGAAACCACAAATGCCTGATATATCCACCGAATCGGCAGTGTGTCATGTGTGAAGTAACACTGCCTGGCCAGGTGTGTTGGTGCACTAGAGAGGCTGAGGCAGGTGGACTGAAAGTTAAAGACTGACCTGGGCTACATCAAGAAAAAAACAAACAAATTTTAATTGCTTTATTATTCCATAAAGGATAGCTATAAAATAAAAAGCCACCCACCTAATTTCTAAGTTGCCACTGGCCTGAACAGACCCATTCTGCAGTGCAGTCAGCTCAAGCCCATTGGTGAGTCTAATGCTTTGTCTCTATGGACAGTAGAGGTCATTTGTCAGCTCCGTTGTTCACATGGACTGCATCTCCCACCTGTCCCTACCTCACAGGTATGCTGCTGGGACAGAAGGACAATTGCAACCCTCTGACCTGCTTGGACAGCAGATGGTAACAGTGCACAAAGAACCTCCTTCCCCCTCCCATTATCCCATAGATGCTGAGCCCAGAGCAGTGTGTATGTGAGACCCAGGAACTTGGGAAGACCCATTCACTGAGGGATTTCAAATGCTCAGAAAATGAAAGCACCATTCCAGGCTTTCATCACTTTGGTCTGAGTCTTATTCTGTGAGTCAGTCTCAGGAGATCTGCCTTATACCTAAGCTCAGCTTTACTGTAACAGTGACAGCATTTGCTGGTGTTAGTTTACTTTTTAAAATACTCTGGGGGGTGGGGGAGCTGGAGAGATGACTCAGCGGTTAAGGACACTGATTGATCTTGCAGAAGACCTGGGTTCAAATCCCACCACCGACATGGCAGCTAACAACTGTCCATAACTCCAGTTCCAAGGGATGTGACAGCCTCTTTTGTCCTCTGCAGGCATTGCGCGACATGGGTGCACTTACCTACACGCAGGCAATACACGCATACACATAAAATAATAAATATTTTTTTTAAAAATTTAAAAATAAATAAAATAAAATACTCTAGGGGATGGAGAGATGGCTCAGCAGCTAAGAACACTGGTTGCTCTTGTAGAGGACCAAGGTTGGGTTCCCAGCACCCACATGGTAGCTAGCAACTGCCTGTAACTCCAGTTTTGGGGGGTCCAATGCCCTCTGAGGCCATTATACATGGTACACTACATACAAGCAAAACACTCATACACATAAAAGTAAATAAATCCAAGAAGATTTTTGAAAATATTCTCAACCTCTTAATATGAAGTGCACAGCGTTTTCCATGTGTCTTTTTCTCTTCCCTGAAGCTGCTTCTGAACACAGCATGGTGGCCTGAAGCTTTTCATCTATGGAGGCTGCGAGAGAAGAACAGCGAAGGGCACAGCGCCCTGGCCCTGCATCCTCACGGCGGCTCTGCACACCTAAGGTCTTTCTTTGGATCACCTCTGGGCACACGGAATAAGCAGCACACCAAACAGAAGTGCAAAATTCTGTCTTTTGGTTTTTAGTGGGATGGGATGAGAGTTTTCCTTTTATAAAATATCTATAAAACAGAGATTAAATCTTCACTGATAAAATAACTGTAGTAATACTTTTCATGTACTTTCACGAATATGACTGCGTCTAACCCTCAGGGCTGTGTTGAGGGCAGGCGGCAGGTCGTGCCTACTTTACTGATGTGGAAAGCTGAAGGAACTAGGGTACCTGTCCAGTAGGGCAGTCAGCAGAGTTCAGAGTAAGAGTGCAGCCCAACCTCTAAGCATGTTCAGTGCTCTGCTTTTGACAATGTCTGTCCCACCCATCACTTCTGAGCATGGGCTTTGTGATAGGCACGTCCTCAACACTGTGAACTTCCATATGGCCTCTGCCCAGGAAAAATTCCCCAAACACATATGCAGTCCTTTTGGGGCATTGCAGGGACAGCTCTGGGACCCCTGCAGACACTAACACACACAGGGGCTCCAGCTCTTTAGAAAGACAGCGTAGTGCTTGCATGGGCCCTACCTAGATCCTCCAAGTTTTTCGGGCTTCCTTCAATGACCTGCAACAGCTAATACAAGGTTGCTGCTACCCAAGCTGTTATTGCTACATGGTGCTGTTTAGAGGGAGCAATAAGAACAATGCCTGTACACATTCAATTCAGGCACAATTTTCCCCTGAATATTTCTGGTCTGTGGGTGGCTGGATTTGAGGATACAGAGCTAGCAGATACAGAGGTCTGACTGCTGAATGGCACAACTACTTTTGTGGTAAGATGCATTTCTTCCTGCCAAGAGATCCTCTCCACCCTGTGCTGCTGAAGCTTATCAGGTCTACCCCACCTTCTCTGCACAGGGCTGCTTCATCCCCAGCTAGCACAATGTGCTGGCTGATTGGGCAGCTGGCTGTGTTCAAGTCTCTGGTTAGCCTGTCCTTCATCAAGTGGCTTGGACTGTCCTGTACTAGGGGCCCAACAGCACGCCAAGCCTCATGTGGCACTATGGCCCATGTGGGGCAGGTAGCACCCCTGTGACCCCTGGCTGCCAGTCCCATCAGACACAAGAACGTGGAATGGAATGCCCAGCAGGATGCAACCCCCACACATACTTCCCATCAGTTCAGATGGCTTTCCTGTTTTCCGTGGCCTGTTCCTCTGACTGCCCCGGTGATCCTTAGGCCATGGTCACCATCACATTGGTCATCCCAGCCTCAGCAAATGGATCTATGACAGTTGGGTCAAGTCTCCTCAGTCCCAACCAGGCACCTACCAATGCGTCCTATCCAGTCACCTGTCCCTCTTCCCCTGGACTATACTGTCAGAACTGACTTCTAACTCACAGATGTGGCTCCAAATATGGTTTTTCCCCAAATCCATAACACACAGCTCCTCTGAGCCCATGAGCCTAAGTCAAGATGTTCACCACTACTTCAGAGGAAGAGTCACTTTCAGTAGCCTGCCCTCCCAGTATACTGGCTGTGGTAGTCCCTTCTTCAAGGCCTCCATCTGAGGTCCTTTTCTCCTACCTCCACCTCAACTCTGCAACAGTACCCTATGTCAGTAAAGTTTCTCTCCTTATTCACCTTTGACCCTCCCCTTTCAGTTCCTCCCGCAAAGACCCAGTCAACAGAAGGGCTCTGCAGACATTTCCAATTACTTTATCCAGATTAAGACACCTGAGCCATCCTTCTGACTCAATCCAAGCCCCACCTTCCCGAAAGCGAAGCCAGCACAGCAGCACACAAGCACAGCAGCACTACGACACCATGGCATCACCTGAGACATGACAGATCAATCTCACTATGTCACCCCTCCCCGCAAGCAAAGCAAGCACAGCAGCGCACGCGCATGGCAGCGCAGCTTCACCTTCAGAAGTCCTCTGTGAAAGAAAGTTAGGCCTTTGTACAGCATGGCTGTGGGCTGGTTTCTGTTCAGCTCCAAGGACTGCTGAAAGTCCTCGTGGGCTGTCGCGTAGTCCTATGGAAAGGAGGGGAAAGATAAGATTGTGTTTGTTAGAAACTGGAACACGTCCTACTGTGGGCAGGCAGAGAGAAAACCCAGTGGTCTTGTGCCCTTCTGGGCTTTTAAGGATACTCTCTGGCTGTGTTTTCCAGATGAAAACTCACTCTATCAGTTATCTACTAGCTGGTTTTCACAGAGGCTTAACTGTAGGCCTTGTGACTCAACTACAGGATGAATATCATTTCAGATACCACTAACAAGACCATCTATTCTCACACTAGACTTCTGAAATGCAGGCTATGGAGCAGTCTCACAGAGTACTACGCTAAAGCTCATGTGTTGTTAAATACTGCAAGCCCACAGAACCCTGTGACAATCCTAGGAGCCACTGTGTTGAGAACAGACTCTTCCTAGATTCAGCTCATCTAAGCAGAATAATCTGGAAGACTCAAAGGCTACGGTGATGGGTGAGAGAACCACACAAGTTTACACAATCTCTAAGGTGATGTGTAAGCTATGGACCAAATTGCATCTCTTTTAGTTTGTTTGTTTTTGAGACAGGGTTTCCCTGTAGCCTGAGCTGACCTAAAATTTACTATATAGACCAGGATGGCCTCAATCTCACAGAGATCTGCCTACGCCTGCCTCCTGAGTGTTGGGACTAAACATATCTTTTTTTATGGCAGCTTAGAATCTGACGCTGCTGAAGGCCCTTAATGTTCTCTACAGGGTTTAATTTCAGCCAAAGAAAATGCTTTCACAACTGCCTTGTAGGATAGATTGAACCAAGTCCAGTAAAGCACAGCTTCTGAGATAATGGGAGAAGAGAGGTGTGTACCAATTGCGACAGGGCAGTCACCTCAGATATGAAGTACAAGGTCCCCCGGTGTCGGTACAGCCGTGCTGAGGGCTGAAGCTGAATAGCTTTAGTGAGATCATTCACTGCTTCATTAATTCGTCCCAGAGGGGACAGAATCTAGAAATCCAAAACATTCAATCAGGAAAACTCCTACAGCCAGCTCTATACTGCCAGTGTTTTCACTTTTCAATTCCATGGAATCACATACCACTCACAAAACTGCCTGAGGCAGGCTATAGGCCACAGGTCCTCACACACTGTGGCAGGGCCCAAGGTGGCAGTGTCCAACTAGTCTCTGTCTAGCAAGAGGGAGGCTGAGAATATGGTTCAAGCAAGCACCCAGATGTGGCTCTTCCAGAAATAAGATCCTTTTCTTCTATGTTACATTCATTTTTTCTTCAAGTAAAACAGTGGTATATGCACAGAAAGAGGCCAACATTCATCCACTAGGAAAGACAAGTTAGAGTCCTCTGTAGTCTCTAGCTCTAATCCCTGTGGGAACTAGAACAAAGGATACATTCTAGGATCTCAGATGCTCTATTAGCTCCTAGCTCAGCACTGGAGGGGAAACCACCTGCCTGTTAGAAAAGCCCCTTAGAGCCACCAGTCATTGTGTTCAGGTAATGTGACCACACAGATGTCAGCCCAGCATCCAAAAGGAAACCGACAGGCAGAGGAAAGCCCCAGTGGGTCTCTGTGTCCATGCACTCAAACTCACACATCCTACCCCAGTCATCATTCCTGGAGGGTTTTACCCAGGGTATTCTAACACAGGTCACATCTGCCTGTGCTACTGACCAGTTACCTGCTCTCTGGGAGCTCAGTACTGACTGGGAGAGCCCTCAGGCAGGCCCATCCCAACTGTCAGTGGTAGTCTGAGATGATGGCCCTATGGCCCAGAACTCATCCATGGTGAGATGGGGTTACCATTTGGGAGGAACAATGCCTCTCCCTGCTTTATTAGCCCATAGGTATACAATGGAATTATTACATCTTGGATCAACTGCCAACATACATAGCCATGGGTTAAATTATCTTCATCAAATACAGATAATTTCAGGAAGTACAAAAGCAAAATGTTTCACAAAGAATCTCCTGAGATAGGCAAAGACCTACAATCAGCTGTGAAACTCCTCATGTCTAATGTTGTCTCTTGCAGAGTAGCCAGCCCAGCTGCCACATAAGAGCCTCTTGTTGAAAGGACAGGATTATAGCCAGTAGCTGGAAAGCTAGACCCAAAATGGGCAGGTGAGGAATTATGTTACTAATTGGGAAATATTTTATTGGGCCTGGAGAGATGACTCATTGTTAAGAGCACTGGCTGCTCTTGCAGAGGAACAAGGTCTGGTTCCCAGCACCCATATGACAGCTAACAACCATCCGTAATTACAGTTCCAAGGGATCCGATGGCCTCTGTGGGCACTGCACACATGGGTGCATTTACATACATGCAGACAAAACACACACATGAAATGAAAATAAATGAAAAAATGTTTATTAAAACCAAGTCTTCAAAAAAGTGTAAATATGCTTTAAAGAGATTGAAATTTAAGATACTGTAACCTGATGACAAAACAACTAGGATTCAGTGTTCTTCTGCTTGCTACTTTTCTCTAAGGAGAAAAAGTTATTTTTCTTGAGTCCAACAATGAAATCACCCCATATGAAATGGCTGCATTAAAACCAACTGCACCCACACACATGAGCCATGGGCAGTCCAGTACCACTGTGAGAACACACTGATTTAAAACAATGAAAGGTGGTGAGGTGTGGTGTCACACACTTTTAATCCCAGCACTGGGGAGGGGACGCAGAGATAGGCAGGTATGTATGAGTTCAAGGCCAGGCTGGTCTACGTAGTAAATTCTAGGCCAGCTAGTGACCCTGCCTCGAAGAAGAAGAAGAAGAAAAAACCTGTATCACACAAACAAACAAAAATCCAAGCAAACAACAACAAAACACCAAAGGAATTTTTGTCACTCCTCTTTCCCTGCTGTTCCCCAGCTTCATTTCCCCAGTAGCCTGTCATACCCCCACACTAGCTTCTGCATAGGACACTTACTGGTGTCCACTCAGTAGGTACTATAGGTATCTTTCCCTGACCTCCCCATACCTCTGTTTCTACCTCAAGCCATGGTTCCTTGAGGTCTGCAGCAATCCCCCTTACCTGCTCTACGTGTCTACAAAGACAGGCCCACCTCATTAGAACTGTATGTGAGTACACCAGCACATGTATTCCCCCCCTCCTCTCTCCTCCCCCCGAAGTAGAACTGCTTCCATATTTCAGTTTGCCCAAACCACCATACTCATTTTGTTAAAGTATGTCATTTAAACCAGCACTACCATGCATATCTTTTTAATCAATATCCACTGAATTAGACAATATAACGACACGGTTTAACACTAAATATTATTCTTATATGTTAGTTCAAGAGCATCACTTAGCCCACAGTTTTCTAATAATTTCAACCATGCATACAGGCCTTAGGAACTATGTAGGAAAACAATTTGGCATAAAGGAACATTACGCTATAATGAAAAATAGTAAGAAAAAGTTCTGAATTTCAGAGACTTCAATAACAACAGATGGAGAAAGAAAACCACACTCACTTGGGCTCGCAGCTCAAATACCTCTGGGCGGTCGGGTTCCAAGGCAATTACTCGGCTCAGTTCAAATAGAGCAAGCTCAGCATTCTTAATGTCCTTGAAAAGGTATTAGCTTAGTATGAGACACACTGCTGCTCAGAACCCATGGAAAGATCTGAAACTCTAACAATTTAGTCAGGATATAACCCTCCGCTTAGAGATGAACACGAACTTCAGTTCTGCATCAACACTCAGCCAGGTTCATTTGGGGAGTAGCGAGGAGACAACCACTGGGCTCACTCCTTTCCCCACTCTTCAATAAGAGGCAAGCTGGAGTTGGCCACAGATGGTGGCTCTTATCTAAATGTGACCTATCCAATCCCCAGGGTGAGCATGTGGAGGCCAGCCCGGAGAATGACATCCACCAGTGACAGACAGTAGGGGACAGGAATTAGCCAGGTGTCAGTGAAACCATGAGCCCAGAACCAGCCCTGTGACTAGTCTGAGTTCTCCTCACCATCCACATGCTACTTTTACATTAAAAACACAAGTGTAAATTTCCACTAAAGACACAAGCAAATTACAGGTCAAGAGGCAAAGTTTAGACAGATGGGGATTAGGAAGCAGTGCTTATCTGAAGATTATTCGACAACCTGAACCTAGTCCCTGAGGACCCTTGACTGCAATGTTTTTCCACCCCAAACACCCATGGTTCCCAGTGCCGAGTTTGTCCTCAGTCCTCCATGTCTCAAAGACAACAAATTACAAATATCATATACATTTTCTCCAACAAGCCATTGTCAGCTTAGTAGAATATTTAAACTTTAATTTTTTTGAAAAATTTTTGTTATTATTTTATGTGTATGAGTATTATTGCCTGCATGTAGGTAAGTGCACCCGTGTTGTGCAATGCCCGCGGAGGTCAGAAGAGGCTGTTGGATGCCCTGGGACTGGAGTTAGGGACAGTTGTTAGCTGCCATGTGGGTGCTGGGATTCGAACCTGGGTCTTCTGTAAGAACAACCAGTGTTCTTAACCGCTGAGCCATCTCTCCAGCCCTAAACTTTAATAAATTTTAATTGAAATATTTAATAAACTGTCAAAAGACTATAATGTTTTTGATAGAAAAGTTACAAAAGTGATGGTTTTCTCTCAAAGTATTATTTCGAAGGATATGGTTAGTTTAGGATCCTGGGAAAGGTTTGGGTACAGGGCTCTAAATGTGCTAATCTTAAGGGCATATGGTGGTTCACTGCATCATCTCAGAAAACACTGTGACCCCACAGCAGCTTTTCAATGTACAGTGCCTCCTGTAGCTGCCCGCCCCCTTCCTTGAGGACATAACAGGAATGGTTTATGGCTACAAGATCTTACACTTATCTGCAAAAAAGCATAAAATGTAGCAAATAAATCTCACACCCAACTTGTCAGGATTATGAAAGGAGCTCAGGTTCTAGGTCCCAATATGACATCAAGGCCTAGTCTCTGCTTTCGCAGGGAATATTCTAGAAATGCAGCCAAGCTTTTCCTGTGGCCAGCTCATCAAGATTTTGGAAGACCTGGGGAGAGAGCCCAGTTGTCACCTACTGGTCATGGGACCTGGGGTGATCACCCACCCCCTTTCCATCTGCATCCCAGCAGAGCTGAGAGGACAAGAAGCAGTTCAGAGAGGCCTGGCTGCATCAGGCCACGTGGGCACGGCAGCAAGCGCAACTAGTACATACTCACATGTAGTCCCTTCTTTCCATAGGCTATCCCTCGGCCATAAATTGCACTAACCAGATCAGGCTCCTCCTAGTCAGACCAAAACAAAAACAGGTCAAAAACTAGAAACAAACAAAACAAGAATAAGTGTCTGCTTAAAGCTCGTTAATGCCACAAGTGGCAGCTCTACTTCTTTGTGCTAGTAAGACTCTTAAGTGACCGCCAGAAGCACTGCCAAGCACCACAGTTTCCTCCTTGAAGTCCTTTAGCTCCAAAGCCACTTTCTCAACCACTCTGTGACTGCACACCAGCAACCTTGTGCTACAAAGAACCTGGAAGCCTAGGGTGCAGAGCTGTGAGCTGCCATGTGAGCAGAGGTTAGCTAAATGCCTCTCTGGGCATGTTGTCTTCGACACACCTATAAGGATACACCCATGACCTAACTAGAATGTGCTGAGGATCCATGATCTCTGTAGCCTGCTGCCCTGTTCCCGCTACTTCTGAGCCCAACAGATTCTGTTACTACCTGTCAGATCACAAAGTCTCTGCTGCCCCAGGCTAGTGGCATGGCCTCTTTCTGCTGGATGGATGGTACGCCTGTCTACACCAGCCACTTTCACGTCATTTCTGTGTCCTTTGCTACAAGGTCCTGGTGCTACTTGCAGAGCTGAACATACTGAAGAACTATGAGGCCGCAGAAACTCAACATAACAACTCTGAGTTGCCAGTTTTTTCTGGAACCTCAAAAAAGACACCCTCCCCCAAAAAAAGAGGAAAAAAAAAAAAAAGCTAGGTGTGGCAGCTCACACCTGTCCTAGCATCATGAGGGAGGCTGAGCAGAACTGTCAAAGCTTCAGGCGAACCTGGGTTGCATAACAAGATGCTATCTCATAAACAAAACAACAAACCAAATGAAAACAAAGAGCCAACAAAGACAAGCCTGCATTTTGGCATTCTCCACAGAGAGTAACTCATGTGGGTTCCCTTCTGGCTCCCATGCAGTGCTCAGACTGTCACCTGTAACACGCATGTACCTGCATGAAGACTGTATCTGCTAAGGGGGAGGAAACCCAAGTCACAGGGCTACAGAGGAGCACAGGTTGTAATGACATCTGTGCTGGATAGCTTTAGTGTCAACTTGACACACCTGGGTTGAGGGAGCCTCAATTGGGGAATTTCCTTCATTGGACTGGCCTGTGGCCATGTCTGAGGGGCATCTTCTTGATGAGTGATGTAGGAGGGCCCAGCCCACTGTGGGTGGTGCCACCCCTGGGCAGGTGGGCCTGTGCTGCATAAGAAAGCAGGCTGAGCAGGGGCCAAGAGAGCAAGCCAGTAAGCAGCATTCCTCCATGGCCTGTGCTCCAGCTCCTGCTTCCAGGTTCCTGCCCTGAGTTCCTACCCTGGGCTCCCTGATGAACTGAGACCTGGGAGATGTAAGCTGAATAAACCCTTTCCTCACCAAGTTGGTATTGGTCAGAGTGTTTTGCCACAGCAATGGAGAAACAAAGTAAGACAACATCTTACGAAAGTTCCAGCAGGTGCTTATGAGCCACTGCATGCACAGGAGAAAACTCTTCAGAACAGTCATGTAACAGTAACAGTAACAGTGATTCACATGGCGGGGAACTGCTACATATACACTCAATGTCCTGACAGAGTTGTGCTCTAATTATTTAAAACAAATTTGCATCTATTCATCTATAAACAAAAAACTTTTGTAATATTTATTATTTTTTATTTTATGTGTATGCATGTATTGCCTGCATGTAGGTAAGTGCGACCGTGTTGTGCAATGCCTGCAGAGGACAGAAGAGGCTGTCGGATCCTCTGGAACTGGAGCTACGGACAGCTGTTAAGCTGCCATGTGGGTGCTCAACCGCTGAGCCATCTCTCCAGCTCAGAAAACACTTTTTAAGTAAAACATTTCACTACAGAAAACTGAGCATTAAGAAAAGCCTAGGGAAGCTTGTGAGTGGCATCTGTGAATTCCAATCCTCACTAAAGCAGGAAGGCAGAGCAGGTGGCTTCAGGAACAGTGGAACTGTGGGAGCAACAGGAAGGCCACACACTACCTGAGGACCTGAGAAGACTGCCTTCCTGCTTTGGTAGTGATTCCTGCTCAGATGCAGAACTGACGACAGAACAGCTGGGCTGGGCACCAGTCTGGGACACAGTCAACATGGCTGGCATCAGAACCCTGGGCTCCCTGTACCTTGGACTCTTGTCTGCATTTCAGTGGACACCAGGCCTAGGCTCAGATTTGGTGTGTTCAAAATGCATCAAACAGGCAGCTCTTCTCCAATGAATAGTTTACTCTCTAATACCTGTGGCCAGGGACTGGCTCTTGGGGTACCACCTCATTCCCCTGACACCATTCTGACCACCCCACCTCTTCCTGAGGAAGCCAAGTAGCCTGGCTCTACTTTAAGCTTTGTTGCCTCAGCAACCGGCTTCACTGCCTTCCGGGTTCTTTTCACCTATGCCCCAAAGCATGCAGCACATCTCTTAACTTTGAGGTCTGGGTTTGCCACATCCCTGTGCCATCACCCAATGGCTCCCTAAGCCCTGACAACAGTGCAGCTCACGCTGCAACCCAGGGTGTACATGGGTCCACAACGGGGAATAGCACATATATGCACAAACAGGTGCACAGAAGTATGAACTTGTGCACTACACACAGGGATCAGGGAAGAGTTTTACTTAGTCAGAACCAGCTTTGCTATCTACACGGAGTATAAATGCCTATTTCCCAGCCATCGAATAGAGTCCGTTTTTAAAAAGCACTGGCCATTTAACTTCAGCACTCACTGAGGGACAGCAGCAGTGAGGCTGCAATACAAAGCCCTGCAGGAAATGCTATCTCTGGCATTATTGGTCATCTTGATCCTCTCCCTTCCCCACTCCCACTTCATGGTGGAGAAACCAGAACTGCTTCCCAGTCCCTCTCCAGCAGCTCCTGCGGCGGACAGCAAAAGCAGATGCTCCCAGTCTACCTGGGAGATAGCCATGACCTGTGCCCAAGAAGCCCCTTCCATCCCAAGACTTTCCTGACTCTTGCCAGGTCCCCTGCAAACTGAACATACATTCTTCTGCATTCGTATTACATGATGTATGAGTGTTAGTTATAAAAACAGTTACTCAGAGTATATTGTCGGTGAATCAGGTTCCAAGCCAGGAGACAGTGCAGAGATATGCCATTCCTGCTTGTGTGCTAGGAAGGGTACACAAAGCTGACAGAGAAGGGCTCACAAACACAGCTCCAAGGCCGCTCTCACTGAATACTGATTTTTGCCTTCAGAGGTGCAGAAAGACCTGAGCAGCACAGAATTCCCTGAGGAGGAGACTGCTAACTGTTTAGCTGAGGACAGCAGCAGGGGCAGGAGACAATGGGTACATGAAACATGAGAAGTAGTTGGATCTAGACCTCAGCAGGCTGCCACAGGGCTGGGTGATGGAGTGAGCAGACAGCAGATGTGTACAGTGTAGACTCCTTACCAAACAGAAAGGTGTCAGAGCTGGGCGACTGGGAAGGCTCAGATGATGGGGCAGGAGAAAGAGGTGGATGTGGAACTCTGAGTGGGAGCCAGGCATGGTGGGGTATACCTCTAATCCCAGCCCTTGGGAGGTAGAGGGAGAAGGATCAGGAGTTCATGGATAGTCACTGCTACATAGCAAGTTTGAGGCCAGCCTGAGCTGGCTACCTGAGACCTATCTGTCTTAAAACAGACAAGTAAATGCAAGCCCTGCCCAAGTATAGTGTAGTGACTTATGTCTGTACTCCCAGAACTTGGGATGCTGAGGCAGGAAGATTTCTGTGAGTTCAAAGCCAATCCAGGCTATAGAGTGAGACCTTGTCTCAAGAAAAATAGAGCCAGGCGTGGTGGCTCATGCCTTTAATTCCAGCAGCCCAGCAGAGGCAGGCAGATTTCTGTGAGATGGAGGCCAGGCTGGTCTACATAGCCTGTTCCAGGCCAGCTGGAGACACAGACTTCAAAAAAAAAAAAAAAAAAAAAAAAAAAAAAAAAAA